TCGGAAAACTGTAATGCCCCCTTTTAAACAACTCCCCCTAAAGAATGATGTATTCGCTCCCCGTAAATTCAATACGCAAAATCCCCCTTAAAACGACGAAGGACGGACGAGTTGCGGAGGGTCCAGCCAGTTTGTTGGAGGGAATTCTTTGAACGGATGAGTTTTAATCTACAGGAAAGAGTAATGTATCGTAGCGGGCATTAGTCCTCACGGAATGAGTAAAATACTAGTGTATAGTAAGGATTTTATACTGGAACAATGGTACTCGAGCCTAGACCTAGTAATTTCTAAGCTGTCGGCGTGTTCTAAAACAGTAGGAATTGTCGATGACACCAGATACTATATTCTAAATGTAAATATACATACACATATCAACGTGTTCTAGGCTGTAGTTCTGCAGGAGAGAGCACCAATGTAGCGGGTATTGCTCGTTGCAAGAGTTCTAGGCTCTACCTACTACTGTACCATCTCGTAGCTTCATCGTACTAAACCTTCCTCGTATGGAAATCTTCTTGAAAGTCGGCATGCGAAATGTCGTTCCTCGCGGCTTCTTCGATGCTCCATCCATGGTCTTCTCAGCGACTGCTGGTGTTGAGGAGATTTGACGCTTTGGCCACGGAAAGAAGGCAACGGAGGGGCGTTTATTTTTTGAAAAAGCGCCACCAGACTCCTGTTCGGAATCCTCTTCTTCCGCAAGTGGGGACAGTGTAGGAGTTCTTGCCGATAGGTGTGATAACTGCGACCTCATAGAAACATTGACATCGGCATGGTCCCCATAGGAGTCTTCCTCAAAACCATCATAGTCGAGTGACGACAACACTGATTCGTCACCCGACGCCTGGAATGACACATATGGCCTGCCTCCGACACCGCTTTCGCTTGGTTCAAAGTCAGGATACATTTGGCATAATACTGAAGGAATGAGTTTTCTTTGTGGCGAGATTACACTTTTCTTTGCTTTGTTTTTGTGAAGTGGGCTCAAAACAATGTCTTCTGTTTGTTCGGGATGTTGGGAAGCATTCAGAGTGATTTCCGACATGTCTCGAGTCATCCGAGCACGGAGAGATGGGACTTCGACCTTCTTCAGTGGAAGAATACTATCATTCTGATGGTCGCTCTCAAACTTAGCTGAAGTTTTGTGTTCTTCATTCATATCTTCAGTATCAGCAACACCATCATTCACTGTCCCACGTCGTTTGTTAACATGAGACGAAAGGGCCTTTCGAGATAGTACACTGTCTATTCGTCGGGGCACGATGGGCCTTTCGTCCTTCTTCGTTTCAATCACATTTCGTCGATGAAGCAGGTTCTCATTTTTTGCTTTCGGACGAAGAAAGCCACCACGAACGGCAAAGACTTCAGGTGGAATCACGTCAATCTCAGCAGTAGCCCTTGCTCTTGGGTTGACTTTTGGTTTGCAAGGTTCTTTGACCTCCATCATATCGTGTTGACGTTGACTTCGGACTGGTCGATTAGACGAGATGCATGAGGCGGTGCCGCATGGCGATGATTCAACGTCATGAATAACTTCAAACTGGTGAAAACGTGTACTAAATTCGCCTTTTGCCCAAGTAATATATATATAAAAGAAGAATTTCAAATATTTAAAAATGGTCATTGCGGTCATTGTAAAAACATCTGGCTGACGGGGATGGACAGAAGGGATCGAACGTGTAAGGCCAAGCACATAGTAGTCGTAATGACAGAGGTTGTCTACAAGCATCTTTAACTATTTCAATCTCTAGCCGAATATAACTCGCAATATTATTTTTCCTCACAAAGCAATCAGGAGCATCCCTCCATTCATCATGATTGTCATGTTACATTGCTTCGCAACGCTGGTTTTCTTGGGAATCAGTTCTTTCAAACATCGTTGGCCTATACTGGTTTAGTCTCGAATCGTATTCAAGTAAACATCGCCGGCACTACCAAGTCGTTGTCAATCTTGAATAGTGCCTTCTTCTTGCTTGACAGACATTTGCAAGGTACTCGTTCTTCTACTGCGTGTTTCCTATTTCCGCCGATTTCTCTTCGTCACCTTCCTCCTCCTCAGCGTCTTCAAAGAATTCCTTCAAGGTAAAGGTTCCGACCCAATGGTATTGTTCTCGTGTCCCCAATGAACCTCCCCATCGCTTGACGGCAATGACTCCCTCCTTGGGAAATATGAGACCGTTTGGTCCCGTGGCTAGTTCCATTGGATTAGAGGCGAGTGGATACGTGTTGATGACTTCTGCCAGTTGGGCCTGCATTTTGCCCTTCTTTTCGACCAGCAATACATTTTGTCGCATTCCCATGGCCTTTTCCAAGACATTTTTGCTCTGAAAGTCTTCCAGTTGTTGTCCAAGTTCGGCAATCCGTTCCTCTAGACGCGCCTTTAATCCTTCTGCCATGTCAATACTCGCTTCGTTCATAATCCAACAGGACCACAAAAAGTAGATTCGTTCGGACGGCAAGGTGACATCGTTTCGTTGGGCCCCATTGGGAAAGTCCAAAAAGAATCGAAGGGCATATTGCTGAGCTTGTGGAGTCTGCAATTGACATCCAAAAGCACCTTCCTTGACAACAATCTTCTCTTGTCCTTTGGTACTGACAAAGGATGGTTCGTTCAACGGCACCACCAATCGTGGATTCTTGGTGGCTTGTTGCAACAGAGATTCCTTGGTCATTTCATAATCGGAACAAAGTTCGTCCGTGAATTCAATTTCCAACGAAAATGCCAATCGAGCTCCCGAAGCGGCCCATTCTTTGGGCATGGCCGTCCCAGGAATTCGTCCCACCGAAATCTGTAGAGCACATTGAAGCTGGGATAGTTTGGAAATGGCCGACGAATTGATGGATTCGTAGGAGGATTTGCTGAGAGGCGTGCTTAGTGCTTTGCAGGGTCTAGATTGATATAAGCAAATCACGAGGAGAATCAATAGCGGGGCATACTTTGGCAACGACATTATCAACTGCGTATTAACATGAAGAAGAAATTGTTGCGTTGTGGATCATACGCGCACTGCGCGTACCGGTATATATCTCCGTTCCATGTGGAAGATGATACTGGACATGATGACCCAGTGGACTAGCGCCACATTTTGAACCAATCAGAATCCCTTGCTCACGTCACTACATGTCACTAAATTTGTATTGTATGAGAAAGGCGACAGTATATATAGTACATGACACACTGTGGACCACAAAGCTATTGCATCGAGCCTAGAAATTTCTGATATCGCATCTGGAAGAAAAGGTGAAGCTACCATGTAGCGAATTTGACTCTCATAGCTACTAAGGCAATTCTAGTATCTTTTGTTGCTTCAACGACTGCAAAACGAGCTATCGTTGTCAGCAGAACAACACGAACATTGTCAAGGGAAAGACTTCCTTGGAACACCTTCATCGATTGAGTATTAAGCCATTTTCATGTGGTCTTTCGGTCGCAGCACGTTCTCCTTGTTATTCAAGTCCAAGTTCATACCTTCTTGAGAGAGTACTAGCTACTCCTCTAGTTTCTTCTCCAGGTGCGTCGATAGATGGAGAACTCACGACCGCCGGGAATAAAATACATCCAGAGCTTTTATCTCATATATACCAACGGTATGTTGTCCAACGTCAGTATTTATTTTGATGTGTTTGCATTTCGCCTTCCTAACTTCTTGTCGCCGGTGGTAGGGCTCCCTTTTTGTCGTGGCCGTGAAGTTCAAGGTAGCTGGTACCACACCGTACAATAATAACACAGTATTCAGCGAAACTCCTCCGACAGCTGACGTCCTTAGGTGGCGGAGTGAAATTGGTTGAGAACACGAACGCATGCCGTTGAAGGTTGCACATGCGTGGTATCAAAATTACGGCATACTGGTACATTATACTGTACCCATAAAAAATACAATCTGAGCCAACGTCCCTGGAAACACATTCTGATCAACTGACAGGAAACTGCTTGTGAAAAAGAATAAGAGCAAACGAATATTTGCATCTATGTATTTGCTATTTTCTAAATATCATACTATATAATATATACGAATGCGTGACCGAAAAAATTACATGACCGCCATGAATAAAATAAGTGCTGGAGAGTTAGTTCTGATTTTGATCACTTTTGTTGTTTCAGTGTAGCTCATCATCGTGGTATCCGATCACAATATATGTGCAGCGTCGTAAAGGCTGTGTATTTTTTTTAAATACAAACATCGTCAATGATATTTTAGAACCATGTATTCGTCTGATCAGCACCCGACTGGCGAATGTTGATGGCGGTCGATCCTGGAAGGGCGAAATTGAGAAATTAGTTCTTGAGGATGAGCTCAAGATCCAAGCCTCGGCTCACAATTTCAAAATTTACAGGATTGAAAATGAATTTCAAAACCATCATAGAGCAAAACGACGAGACTCTTGCTTTCCTGAGAACACGAGACTACTCCAAAGCCGCCGTTGCATCATCCACAGCGCTAAAGTGTCTTAGATCGCTCCAGGAGCAGTGTGCAGGAGCTAGCAAGGGGTGCTGTAATGAGCTGTACTCCTCTACTTGTTCTGACGGTTTGGATCAATGCATGCTCCTTTCGAAGGTGGAGGATGAGTCGAGTTTTGAGGCAAACGACGAATTCATCTACAAACATGGCATTTCGTTGCACAGCGAAGTCATTGGTGCTGAAATTATCACATCCGTTCTTCTCTTCAATACCGCGCTTGCCCACCACATGCTTGCCATCGAACAGCAGCAACATCAAGCCCTGCTAAAAGCAAAACGATTGTACGAGCTAGCCTACAGTGCATATGAAATGGACCATAACATTTTGTTTCAGTTTGCTGTGATCAACAACATCGTCGTGATTGATAGAAAGCTGGGCAACGAGGTGATGCCAAACGAGTGCTTGGCACACTTGATATCACTGTTCATGGTTTTTGTGGACCAAGGATGCAATATGCACCTGCGCCATGTACAAGGCTTTCTAGTGAATCTTCCATGGTCTATCGATACGGCAGTTGCAGCATGAATCTCCGTTCTTGTTTACAACCATACCATAAAACGAAGCCGTGTCACACATGGTGTTATGCTCTATCATGCACGGCAAACAAATTATAGCCTCCGATTTATCTCAAATGCAACACACTTTGATAGAATCCAATGATCAACTAGACATGCTATTTTAGGCATCGTCATGTTTGTCTTATCACATCTTCCCATCACTACTTTTTCATGGCAGCCTAGACTAAAGCGTACGATGGTAGTTCGGTCTTTGGTTCGTGGTGCAGCCACGTGGGTGGTACCTGCCAATTCAAGCTTCCATCTGATCCCGCCGACATCTTCTTTCAAAATTCCGTGGGAACAATATTTGTCACAACCTTTTTTATTGAACGAATATTAAACATAAAGAACACGCGAAAGGATCCGGAACTGTTCCGATAGTGACTGCGTTCAAATTCCAGTGGAAACATGAATACAGGTAACAAAAAATTTGAACACGCATTTGCCAGAAATTCGCAATAAAACGAACCAGCAGAGAAGAAATCCAGCACAGGAATGGTCACATCCAGGGAATAAAATGGACAGATGGTAAAGCGCGACGGTTGTTCATGGTTGCCGCCCCATTGGAAATTCTGTGGGAGCAAAAACAAGCTGGGGCAAGCTTATCCACAACTTCTTTTCGATGATGTCACCATGTTTCGCCATATTTCGCCACACCGGATGTCTGGAACGCATTCTGGAACGAGTTGCAAAATACTAAGCGGAAACCAGCTCATAGAAAACTTCCGTTCAGGTGCTATGCGACGTTCCACTACGTTTCGCCACAGTAGATGTCTCGAGCAGAGCCGAAGTTTGTGACAGAGCTCAGAGCTCAAACTAAAGCTCCAGCCAGCTGAACACGCTTCTCAAACCGGACAATTTGAATCTCTTGCGCTACCTGGCTCTAGAAGGATGTTCTAGTGTTTGTCTTGTATCATACTATAATTCCATCCTCATTGTGAGAGAACCGGTACTCACCACGTTTCGCCGCCTAACGCTAAAAACTTCATTGCTCTGTCTACTCTAACATGCGTGGCACTATGTCTTCTTGCTCTGGATCGGATGCATCGTACAACAATGTTTGTCTGGCTGGTAGTAGACCCCCATTCCTCCTTGCGCGATCTCGTTGAGAAATTACCTCCCAGTGTCGTCATTTTCCAACGCTCTGGTTGCACGAATGATGTAGACCTGTCCTCTCAGATTGCCCCTTGACGGAACCGATGAATGCAATATGTCAATATTTGGCTGTCTCTAAATCCCGACGATGAAGCTGGCATCGAAAAAACGAGGGGCGGTAAACTTTAAAATGGTGTTGACTTCTTGGAAAATCATCAGGAGCTCATAATTTGGCAACATCATTGTCAGCGGTTCATTAGCGTGAGGCTGGTGATGCGATGTTGATGTTGGATTCTCTTCGTGGAAGATCCAAATAGGTATACAGGTAGGTATAGTATTAGTGGATTTAAAATTTCGTCGACAATGATGACCGACTCATTCGATTCTTGCTACCTCATCTGCGTGCGCGTGCCAAAAATATGATGAGACCGCATATTATTGAAGGGACGTCTTGCTATGATGTGGATAACGTGTATTGCTAGATTGTGTGTTGTTATGATGGTGTCGCAATATAGCGTTGGACGCGTAATGCTGGCTGGCGTCAACTGTCGGTGCAACGGATGTAACGGGATATGCTTGGCACGCTCCCGTGGAATAGGGAATAACACACCCTTACAC